TTAATCCACTGACCTTGGCCTCTGGTAGCCCGGATACACACCCGGGGAACTGTGGCGCTCAGTGCGCTCATCTGGAGAATCTGTGTGACACGCCGACACAACACTAAAGATTTATTATATTTCTGTCACGAGCAAAACCAGTTTTATGTAGATTGTGATTGTTCCGTGTAACAGAACCACTGATCTTCATGACTGGATTGATCATTGCATTCAAAACTGTTTTCTTCTATGTCAATATATGACGCCGCAAGGTTGAAGTCCGTGTCATCCTTCAGAAATCATTCTAATATGCTGCTGGAATATTATCAGTTATCATTGTTTCTTAATTATTAATAATCTCCATTATTAATACATTTCAATAATCTCAAAACCTGTGATCGTACACAGACAGAAGAGTTTTACCGAAGGCTGTCGACTTTTCAAGTCATAATTTCGACTATTTGTCATAATTTCGACTTAGTATGTCATAATTTCGATTTTGTCATAATTGACTTTTTAAGTCATAATTTATACTTTTTTGTCAGAATTTTGATTTGGTATGTCATTTTGACGGTCACTAAATTTTTAAGTCGTAATTTCAACTGTCATAATTTAAAAAACATCAGAATTGACTTTAATTAATAATTTTGACCTTTTGTCATAATTTTTTATTGTTTTGTCATAATTGACTTTAGACTGTCATAATTTACTTTTTAAATCATAATTTAGACTTTGTCATAATTTTGACTCAGTATGTCATAATTTAGACTTTGTCATAATTTATAACTTTACTTTTTACTCTTACTTTTTGTCAAATTAGATTTAGTATGTCATCATTTCAACTGTCAAAATTGACTATAATTTCAACTTTGTCAATTTAGATTTTTTCATAATTTACTTTTTAAGTCATAATTTACTTTTTTGTCATAATTTACTTTTTTGTCATAATTTACTTTTTTTCGTCATAATTTACTTTTTAAGTCATTTAGACTTTTTGTCATAATTTTGACTTTCTCATAATTTACTTTTTAAGTCATAATTTCTTTCAAAAAAATTGTATTGATAAAATCGAAATTATGACAAAATCTAAATTATCTAATTATGACAAAAAGTAAAAAGTTAAAGAGTAAAAACTCTAACTTTGTCATAATTTAGATTTAGTATGTCATAATTTCAACTGTCATAATTGACTATAATTTCAACTTTGTCAATTTAGATTTTTCTTAATTTACTTTTTTTTTTCATAATTTACTTTTTTTTGTCATAATTTACTTTTTAAGTCAAAATTTTGTTCATCATCATCATCAAAAAACATTTACATTTTTTGTCATAATTGACTAAGTATGTAATTATTTCGATAATTTTGTCATCATTGACTTTTTAAGTTATAATTTAGACTTTTGATGATACTTTTGACACAGTGTATCATAACTATGATTGACATGATTAAAAGCACAGTGCAGCAACTGAACCGGCCGAAAGCGTGATGTACTGTTGGACCAGTGCATGTTCATGAGCGACACCAGGTCCACATTCAAACTGAATATGAGCTTCATGATCTGTGGGGGAAATATAGCCGAACTCAAAGACATACGCCTGCAGAGACTCATAATAAACACTTACATCTCATACATCTGTGAGTCTTCCCAGTGCAGCTTTAGGACACAATCATAATCATCATCATCATAAACAACAACATAAGCTGCGGATGCTGGAAGAAGCTCCATGTGAAGGTGTAGAGCTGATGTGTGTTTACATTACAGTTTTCATAAACAATAATAACCCTGGTGATGATAAAATGTGACATAAAAAGCGCCGCATTTGTGTTTTGTGATGCTGGATGGGAAAATGAGCTTGTTACTGGAAAAATCACAATACTATCAGATGACACACTTTAACTCCACTCAGATGTTTCAAAACTCTTTCAAATTGTCACAATATCCAACAGTTTCTGATAAGATCATAAAATCAATTCACAAACATTCACACGGAGGTGTTGATGTAAAGTCAATACAGACAGGAGAGGAAAAATAACTCAACTGCGTCTGATGGAGACGGAGACCCGTGATCATCTCAAACACACATCTCAAACACACATCTCAAACACACAACTCCTGATAATATTTCATATTTCAATCAAATAATCTCGTTGTGACAACATGCCCCGGTTATAAAGTAAACTGTGTTTTGTGTGCAGGAAGAGTGTAAATGTTCAGTATAGCCGAGACTTTAATGTTTGTGACTGAACAGAAACGTGCATAAATAAATAAATAATGTCTAGTTAGAATGCAAACTCCTCCGGGAACAGGCAGAGAGATTTTATGCAATGCGTTTCACCGACACAGATGTAAAATAGCTTTCTTTATTATTTTTTCATCATTAGTTGCAAGAATGACACAAAAAATGATGGTGAATCCAAAGAAATACAGTGAAAGGAAGCATTATTGGATGTAAGTGTGTAGAACGAGTGAAGTGATCATTACAGGACATCAGATCAGGGTCAAAGCCTCACGCTCTTTCGTTTCTCATCATCATCTCGTGATTTAACACACCGTGAACACACACTGCCAGAAGCGTGACATCATCTGCAGTTCAGGAGCGCTAACACACGGAGAGTTTACACACGGGACAGTTCTCTGGTCACACTCAAGCTCTCCAAAACATCCTCTCGCTGTTGGAAAACACCAGCTAACAGGGAACGCTCTTCCAGGGACTTCAGTATAACGCTCCTTCACAGTCATTGGTCATGAATAACGTCAGCACAAATATGTCATTCATGGAACGCTGTTCTGGAACATGTCAGTTGGTTTTTAAATGTTACAACTTAGTACTTTTTTAGAATGTTTGAATATTCAAATGTAACATTCCTATAATGTTCGCAAACATGTTTTATCTAATGTTCTCCAAGAAAAAAAAGTTACATTTAGAAAGTGGACGTTTTGAACGTTCTTCAGAAATAATGTTTTCTTAACGTCAGGAAAATCTTGTTAGAACATATTTTTGTCAGTTTAAATTAGTGCCGGAAACGAATAATCGCGATTAATCGCATCCAAAATAAAGGTTTGTGTTTACATAATATATGTGTGTGTAGGCTACTGTGTATAATTATTTTGTATATATAAATACACACACACACATATGCATATTTATTTAAGAAATATTTGCATGTATCTACTGTATTATAAATAATTTATATTATATATAAGTATTTTATAAATAAATTACATTTTTCTTAAATACAGGTGAAACTCGAAAAATTAGAATATCGTGCAAAAGTTCATTTATTTCAGTAATTCAAACTTAAAAGGTGAAACTAATATATTATATAGACTCATTACATGCAAAGTGAGATATTTCAAGCCTTTATTTGTTATAATTGTGATGATTATGGCTTACAGCTTATGAAAACCCCAAATTCAAAATTAGAATATTGTGAAAAGGTTTTTATATCTGCAAGCCATAATCATCACAATTAAATATGCGATTGATCGTTGCCCATAGCACAAGTTTAAATGTAATCCAACTTTACTTTATCAAATGTGTTTTATCAAGGCGTTCGAGCTGGGCGATATATTTATCCCAATATTTTTCAGACAATATTCAATATACAAAAGTGGTTAAAATCAACGCATTGTTTCTCACCAAACGAACACAAAGAACATTTTTCATTTATATGCACCAACAATAACAGCAATATTCACCAACATTTACTAAATCATTTTAATGCATGAAAAATGCGACACAATGACTGATTTGTGATTTTCAGACGAATTGATAAATCAGTTTATTGAAATGAACAGTTTGAAGTGAATCACACGCAAACACCAAATAAAAAAAGTGCTTTAAACTCATTTCAATATGCTTAATTTAATATCACCAGCAAAATCATCGCAAATAGTTTCCGAGTATTCGATAAACCGCCCAGCTCTAAAAAGAAATGTTGTGTCAAGGTTCCCTCGACGTTATGAACAAACTCCAGTAACATTAAAAGAACGTTCATTCAGAGTTATCCGAGCTGTCATAATGCTCTCAAAACATCTGCACAAAAACATTATTAATACATCGTTCATGGAGTTTTTTTTATGTATCATTTTATTTGGACGTTCGTCTAACGTTTTTAAATGTTACTAGTTGTTTTAGAACGTTCAGAGAACATTCAAAAGTAACGTTCTCACAATGTTTGCGAAATGGAATGTTCGCGTAAAGTTCGCACACTCTCAACCGGCGCAACGTCACATGTCTCCGAACAGAGTCACGCCCACTTTTAGAGGAAAATAAACTAGACTTCCCATAGACTTCAATACAAAATAGCGTCACAAAACAACGTCCGACTGTAAAAAAAAAAAAAAAAGGTCCGTACACGCTACACAGGCGAGAGGCGTGAATAAGTTAAGAAATCACTAATGTCAACTAATTATATGTTCATTCTCCCAGCGTCAAATTGGTGTAACAACCCCACCCAGTGGCCAGAGGAGTCTCACCCGGACATTTACTCGTAGTCGTACCTCAACGAGTCACCATGGTAAGCCATAAGCGATTTTACTTCGTTTTTGAAAGTAAACATCTTTAAATGCATATATTATGTCTTATAATACCCCACTGGGTGTTGTTATTACACCAATTTGACGCTGGGAGAATGAAGGGACATAATTGACCAAATTAAGTTTGTTGATATATCATTCACGCTCTATGGCAGGTAGGGTGGACATATAATTATTGACGTGTTTAATCTTAGTGATTTCTTAAGTTATTCCCGACTGTCGGCTGTGTACTTTTGTGACGCTATTTTGTATTGAAGTCTAGTTTATTTTCCTCTAAAAAGCGGGCGGTGACGAAATCGACAGTTGAGTTCCCGCATGTGCCGGTAGTTCGGATAACTAAGAAAAAACGCTTAGAACTTTCCGAATTCACGCGACGTCACTCGTACAAATTAGCCACCTTTCATTCACTCGTGCGAATTGGTCGCGAGACAGCGTTGAAATAACGTTAACTTAATGGGAATGCGAGCAAAACGTTCTCAGAACACATTCTTGTTAGCAGGAATTACACGCATGACATTGAAACAAGCTTTAGCCCTTATTTAATATCATTTGTATCGGTTTGTTTTATTGTAGAACATCATACAGAAACGAAGACTCAGTCAACACTGTTCCAGCGGTATATCTGTCCTCTAAAACACTCCATTCTGAAGTCCTGTAATGAGCGTCAGTCACTGTCCTGTGAATCTTCTACATCATGTGGTTTCCTACACCAGACCTATGGCCTATGGGACACTGCATATACCAGCACATATATGTGACGCGCTCCAGTTAAACCAGTGGATCATCTTCATTATTGACCGGCTCCTGCTATTCCACAAGCTCAAGGTTGTTTGGGGCTCCTGGAATGATATTGTACAAGTAGATTACGGTACAGGACTTATTAACCTCTTGTTGTTAATGCAACAGTGCTGGAGAATATCACATGCTTGCATTATGAACTGACACTGAGCTACGGATACATTTATCATACTATTATAGTATTATCGTGACATTATACACTACTCCTCAAATGTTTGGAATAATGAAGATTTTTTTTTTTTTTTTTTACTGATTCCAGTCTCTTCTGCTCACCAAAGCTGTGTTTATTTGATGAAAAATACAGTAAAAATAGTGAAATATTATTCCAGTGTAAATCAGCTGTTTTCTATGTGAATATAACAGTAAAGTGTAATTTATTCCTGTGATCAAAGCTGAATTTTCAGCATCATTACTCCAGTCTTCAGTGTCACATGATCCTTCAGAAATCACTCTAATATGAGGATCTGATGCGCACATTATCATTCAAAATTCAAAAAAATTTACAAACGGAAATTAATACTTTTATTCAGCAAGGACGCATTAAATTGATCAAAAGCGACAGTAATCTTTCTATTAATCAAAGAATCCTGACAAAAAAAATTAACAAACATATGAATATGCACTGTTTTCAACATTGATAATAATCATAAATGTTTCTTGAGCATTAAATCATCATATTAGAATGATTTCTGATTTCTTTAAAAATCTTAATTATTCCAAACTTAGTGTATATGTGCATTTTAACTTCACACTGGTTTTGCAGGGGGACGGTCACATATATGATTTTTCCGAACAGCATTTTTAATGTTGTAATAGATGTTGTGCTTCCTTTGACTCGTACATAAAACATCTCATATAAACAGAGCTTCTTTACATATACAAGTACAGTTTACCAAACCAGCAAAGTCGGCATTTTTCTGCCCACTTCGGATAATTTTCAGCAATGCAAGGGAGACGACGAGAAATAAAGACAGTCAAATTTGGAACATTTCAACGTAAATAAGAAGAAGAAACGAGACACAGCTTCTTGTCAAAACATTTTCATATCGTTTTTTTTTTTACAACACCCTTTTTAAAAAGCGGCCGGTCGAGCGCTCGGGTATAACGCCACTGTTTCACAGTCCGTGTGTAAAAGCTGAAACACATTCTGGATTGAGTAATAAAATATTATTATACTTATGAATATTTCATTTTTTCTCTCAGAATGCACATTGTTCGGTATATAAATGGCATGAGGAGGGCCTGTCCGTTCCAAGGCCCGTTTGCGTTTCGTTATGGATGCATGAGACATTCAGCGAACACCTGCGTCGTCCAGTCGGACTCGAGTATTAAATAGCCCATCAGATGTTGGAAACGTTGGCGTTTGGTGTCGATGGCCAGGCTAACGGATCGGTTTGTAACCTGAAGGCACTTCTTTTTTAATGGCAGATATTCTGTCACTCAACTGGTACTGGGAACGGCGACTAACCAGAGTTTCTCACCGCCACGGACGCCGTAATCGCGCGAAACGAAGCGGCGTCCATCTTGCGCTTGGGAAAGTGAGCACAGTGTTTGTGAAGTCAGGCTGCTACTGGAGTCGGGGTGTAAACGCTCTTTTATCTGCGTTTTAAAGCACCGAGCCGAACGAAACCAAAGAAGAGATGTGAGAAAAGGTTCTGTTGATTGTACTCCAAATCACCAAAAGGAAAGAAAAACATACCAAGATGAAAAACAGGAGAATCGTGAACGAAAGGGAAGTGTGTGTGAAACACTTCTTGATTCGTGAAACTGGTTCTGCTTCCCTTTCGGTTTCATTCACACACATCCAGATGGCGAAGTATAGTCGTTGTGCTTTTCAGATCCTCCAGGTCTTTCTGAACCTCAGCGGGAAATATGTATTTTTTGTTACCATATTGTCGGTGTCGGGCGAAACCTCGTATCTCCAAAACACCTACTTTTTAGGAAATGGAAAAATCACTGTAATATTTAAACTGGTTGTGGTTTTAGACACTTGACCATTAACATTTGACCAAAATCAAATTTTTGACCAGCGAATCTAGGACATATGTGTTTTATTCGTCATTATAAGTGTTACGAATTACATTTTATAAGTTTACTGTCTGTAGCTTTATGTGGGCGTTACGTTTTTTCTGTCATTTGGCCAAAATCTCATGTTATTAAAGATGAAGGGTATTTAAGTCAGGATTGACCGTGACTCGACGACAAACACACTCTTCTCCGCTCCTCAAACACATAAAATTTCAGCCTTTATATATATATATATATAGTGTTTCTTGAGTGAGGAAAACACTGTACTTATCAAAACAAACAGTCTTTATTCACCATCGCATTGCAGACAAGCAGAGACGCTCCACTTCATTCATGATAGAGGTGGGCGGAGTTATGAGGTTTGATTGACAGTTTGAGGAGCCAATGGAGTTACACGCTTCAGTCACAAGCTCTTTTTAATACTTTTTATTGGTTAAATATTTGCAAATCCCACAGTTGGCGACCGATAGTAGGCCTAATGATTTATAAAAAAAAAAAAAAATTACGAAATATGGAGATACAAGGTTTCCGCCCACTCGCGACAAAATATTTATCACTTTTCTGTTTAGGTTTGTGGTTGTTTCATGGTGTTATTCCCGGTGTTGTGGCTTCTCAGCAATCCGAAAGCATAAATCTTTGGTGATAAAATATTACGGGACGCATCTCGAGTCTCTTCTCATGTGGAGCGTCACCTCTGATGAAAGAATACGGTAAAAAACAGTGTGACGCTCAATGGCCATATACTGGAGACGGTGTGTGGAGCCGCTCCTCTGATAGCTGTGGGAAAACACACAGAGAAAGGTCAACATTAACCGGAGAACTATATCAAAACTCACTGACATGTCAAATCAGCCAGAGGTCCCGGCTAAACATGCAGATTTTGAACATGTTGTTTTTGACCACTGAAAATGGGTAAAATTCAACAAATTGAACACGGAGCCGCATTGAGATCTCCATATCTATGTGATTGAACCATATAGGGCCTTGAAAATGGAGATTACAAGAGAAAAGTTGGTTGAGAACTAGAATCTAAAATCATATTGAAATATCTTTAATTCTTCTTGAGTTACAGCCATGCAAACTTTTGGAAAAAACAATATTTATGGCACTGAAACGGGTATATTCTATGCAATTGTGTTAGAAAGAAACAAGATGCATTTCTAGTTTCAACATTATTTGTTCTTCAGTTATTCCTCTTTAAAAGAAAAAAGGATCAGCTGTTTGCAGTCACCCACATGTGGTTTTGGCCACTGAAAATGGGTAAAATTCAACAATTTACTCATGGAGTCAGATTTAGACCCTCATATCTCTGGGATTGAATCATATAGGGCCTTAAAAATGGAGATGGCAAGAGAAAAGTTTGTTGAAAAACAGAATCTAAAAGGATATTAAGATATCTTTAATACTTCTTGAGTTATAGCCATGCAAACTTTGGGAAAAGAACATGTTTGGCTCTCAGGTACATAGAAGGAGGAGAACGAGATGCATATAAACATTATTTGTTCTTCAGTTATTCCTCTTTAAAAGAAAAAAGGATCAGCTGTTTGCAGTCACCCACATGTGGGTTTGGCCACTGAAAATGGGTAAAATTCAACAATTTACTCATGGAGTCAGATTTAGACCCTCATATCTCTGGGATTGAATCATATAGGGCCTTAAAAATGGAGATGGCAAGAGAAAAGTTTGTTGAAAAACAGAATCTAAAAGGATATTAAGATATCTTTAATACTTCTTGAGTTATAGCCATGCAAACTTTGGGAAAAGAACATGTTTGGCTCTCAGGTACATAGAAGGAGGAGAACGAGATGCATATAAACATTATTTGTTCTTCAGTTATTCCTCTTTAAAAGAAAAAAGGATCAGCTGTTTGCAGTCACCCATATTTGGTTTTTGGCCACTGAAAATGGGTAAAATTCAACAATTTGCTCATGGAGTCAGATTGAGATCCTCATATCTCTGGGATTGAATCATATAGGGCCTTAAAAATAGCGATGCCAAGAGAACAGTTTGTTGAGAACCAGAATCTAAAAGGATATTAAGATATCTTTAATTCTTCTTGAGTTACAGGCGTGCAAACTTTGGAAAACGAATATATTTGTCACCTTAGACAGGAACGTTCTAGAGCCGGGCTATTCAATTGGCGGCCCGTGGGCCACATGCGGCCCGCCAATCATCTCCATCCGGCCCCCAACCGCCCTCCTCCTCTTATCCTGGTGGTGCGGTTAAATTTGTTTAGATATGCGCGTGGCCGCAGTGGCGCCTGCAGCTGTACGGATATACGTATTCTGCGTACCATGAGCGCTCAGACTGAACTGAGAAACGTTTCTCAAGTTTACTTTGAACTTCGCAGCATAGTGTATAACGGAACGCAAGCTTACAGGAGTTGCGTTTACTCCCGGTCCCGGACACTATTATTTAACAGCGTTGATACATCTAGTGAGAAGCGGTTCAATTCAACACACCTGTCTGTTACAAGCCACAAATCACTCAATGATTTAACAGTTTTAAATCGGATGAAACAGCCTCAACATTCCAACGCGACTGATGAGGTAAACAGCAGAAACATTGTGCCATGAATGAATTAGAAGACTTTAAATCCCTTAATCACCAGCCTTACAAACATTTACCATGAATGTACTGTAGTAATTTACCATAGTTTGGGCAGAAATTTGGAATATTTAATACTTAGTTATAGTAAATAGAGTTGGGTATCGAGAACCGGTTCCATTTTAGAACCGGTAACAAATTTCCCAAAACCGGGGATTCGATAAGAAGCACGCATTACGATTCCTCTTATCGATTCCTGACTTTGGGACAGTTGCAAATTCGTTATTTCAAATGTAGGCGCGTGGCAAGCACGTTCATAATAGAAGCGACGAGCATGCGGTGCGTGGCGCTCGTTTTTGCAGGCGCGCAGGTCATGTGACAAAAAACAACGACCTTTCTGTAACATCGAAAGCTCGGCCAAACAGCTGATCATAGCTGAACAGGGCATGTTTTTATTTCTCATCTCCATAAATATATCTAGTAGCCTAGTAAAGCTAATGCGAGGGCTATAAATCAATTAATCCTTTGCTGATACGTCCTCGTCTGCATCATGGAGAGCGCAGTTCATGGTTGCATAGCAACGACAGACGCCACGGGAGCGCAAGCGCTTGTGGAAAGGAGGAGAAAGCGGCGCGGCCCCGCTTCTCCATGCATTTTTAGACGCGATATGTGAACGGTCCCTAATTCAGGAATCTATGTGGCTTAAAATCGTTTTTGTTTTGTTTAAAATGGAGATCACGATTACATACATCAGACAACTACATATGTATAGTCTAATAGTCTTTCTTTTTAAAAACTCGTTTGAATCATTAATTCAAACACTATTACTCCAGTAAAACAAGTATTTATGAATTAATTAATGTAATCAACACCTTTATATGAAGAGACTCCTTTCACTTTAGCCATTTTATTGGATATTGCTTAAAATTGGCAAGAATAAAAGGTAGAAATATTTATTCTTCAAGTATTTGCCCTTTTTTCTCTCTCCAAAAAATATTGGAATCGGAAACGAATCGATAAGAACCGGATTCGATAAGCAGAATCGGAATTGCTAAAAATGAAACGATACCCAACCCTAATAGTAAATTATATTGCATTAGATTTATTAGGTGGGTAGAGGAATTTATAATTCGTTGTGTGTATAGTTTTTACCTGTGTGTAGGCATTTCTCTATAGTGGTAGTGAGTAAATGAGTAGCCATGCATGGTTTTACCTGTGGTTACCAAGTCTCAGTGTCAGAATTTTTAATTTAAGCCTATAAGAATTATGAATAAAATATTTCTTACCAATAGCTATGAGCATGTATAATTTATATATTTGTACACAACTGTAAATAAGTTATTTATTATGGTCTTATAAATGTGCATACTGTTGGGTACCACATTTCCAAGTAAATACAATACTTTTTTGGTTTAATTTAGCTTATTTATTAATACGGTTATGTTTCAATAAGTAATAAATAATGTTTCAATAAATCAGCTAAACCCACCGGCCCTCCTCAACTTTTCGATTCAATAATCCGGCACTCGAATGAAGCTAATTGAATAGCCCTGTTCTAGAGGGAAACAAGATATATTTCTAGTTTGGACATTATTTGTTCTTTAGACTTTCCTCTTTAAAAGACAAAAAGTAGCAGTGGTCGGAAAGTGACCCACGTTTGGTTTTTGTCCACTGAAAATGTGAACAATTTACTCATGGAGCCGCTTTAAGATCTCCAGATCTCTGGGATTGAACCATATAAGGCCTATATAAGTCAAGTCAAGTCAAGTCATCTTCATTTATATAGCGCTTTTAACAGCTTTACAGAGATAAACATACAATTTACGGTAACAGAGATTGTTTTGGCTTTATAGCGATTTTGAATAATGTTATTTCCGGCTAAAGTTGGTTTTGATTGATTCACTTCCAGCAAAATGATCATTTGTTATTACATTAGGGGCCACTAAGACGACGGCGTTCTCTCTAAACAGACTTTAAACGCGAACCTGTGACCTGATGGCGTTCACATGCGCATTAAAAATTGATTCTATAGTTATATTCGTTTGAATATGTGTGCGCAGGTTTGTAATTTCCCTACAAACCATGCCTAAACAAACTACTTGTCTTGCCTATAAATTTGATACAGAATTTTATTTTATCACTTCGGGGTACGGGTTATCTGTAGAGTGGGAAGCATATAAGAGTTTGTTAAAAAACAAAATATGAAAGAATAGAAAATCTTAATGCTTCTTGATTTACAGGCATGCAAACTTGGGGCATAAAACACAAGAAGTGCTTTTCCCCATTCCCTGAACTGTCACCGTTAGCATATAATGAGCATAAAATCAACAGATTTGACTAAAAGTAATAAAATAATGATGCTGCCATCTTTCAAAAGTCATTTTTAAGTCACCCCATGAATTCACTTCAAATTGTCTTTTTGACCCCCTCGACAAAATATCGAATTACTCAATAAATATGCATCCATCACTTTTAATATTTTGGCTTTCATCTCTATTTATGTTTGTCTTTCTTCAGAAAAAATATCAACAAAATCAAAAATGTGAGCCGGGGAAGTTTCCGAAAATGTGTTTGATTTGACATGTGACCCTATAGTGTGAACGGGCATTATTGTGTTGATGACAGGGCCTTTAACGTGTTTACACACCGGCATTAACGTGTGTTTTGTAATATCTTGAGCACATTAAGAGTCAGGTGTAACTGCACTAAACACACATGCTGATCGCTGCCCACTGAGCAACGTGCCGTCGGAGTGACGTCTTTTCTACGTAATGTTTGGACGTCCAGTTTCGGGCCACTGAAGGGGTTGTTTTGTAACGTCTTTTTCCGACGTCTACCGCACCTCTAATGTTGCCGTCCGTGAGCCTCCGTGTAAGGGCTATTTATAGTCCAGATGTGGTCGTTTGTGGACGTCTTTTCAACATCAAATTTAGACTAATTTTAGACGTTGTTTTTCTCGTACACACCGGGATGAATATCACCGCGCGTTATTCGTCAGCGTTTTTCAACGCGTTTTTTGTGTTCACACTCAAGCGATTTTGGCTGACGATGAGCCGAGTGAACATGCAAATTCATTCCCTGACATTAGATGGCGCCCATTTGCTCTGCAATACCACTCCAGAACAGTTCTCTTTTATTAAGGTTTGTGTAGTCGCTGTGGCGTTTGTCATATAGTTCTTTATGTCCCGACAGCAACGAGACCAAGGGGGTAATCCATCGACCGGAAGTTGAAGCCGGCCGGGTGCCGCCATGTTGTAGCAGAACTTCACTTGCGTTAGCATTTCCATTGACTCCCATTCATTTTGGCGTCACTTTGACAGCGAATAACTTTACATCTGAGGCGTTTAAAGACTCCATTTGTACATTATTTATTTCTAAAGAAACAAGACAATGTATAAAGGGCTCCATTACCTTCTATGTTACACTATGGCCCCGTAGAAACAGATTTAGTAAAAATAGGCTAACGATTGCGTCATAACCACTCGACTCTCTGTCGCGCTGTACAGAAATTACCGTACAGACAGGAGGAGAAGCTCGCAGGCAATCGGGGGGACGTCCCGTCAAGGGAGAAGCCCATAGATAATGAGTCCATAAAAGCAACGGAATACTTACTCCTGCTCACTCACGCCAAAGGACTCTTTGCTCAAGTTCCCCGTCTCTGCAAGATTAACGTTGGCAGTTTTCACGCACAGCTACTAGAAGATTAACGTCTGTCAGACAGGTTGCTCACGTCATCAAGCTCAGTTTGAGTCGGTCTGAGTCTGCGCGTCAGGAACGGAAGTTCTCAAAAATCGCTAAAAGTGGGCTTCAACTGTCTCAACTGAGTTCCAATGAGATCGCTCTGTCCATTTCTTTTACTGTCTATGAACGAGACCAGCGGCTCTACATTCATCTGGCCTCGCATCTTCCTCGTCTTATTTCTCCTCGGCAGTGTAGACGCTACTTGGCGTATATCTTCTTCGCCGTTACGTGTGTGTGCTCAGCAAGACCGTTTTGTGTTTGAGCGCCCCCAAGTTGTGTTTTACTGTAACTTCAGGAGCTCCAGACACGTGAGCAAAAGCGGCAATCTCATTGGTCGGATAGTTTTTGACGTTTTTACGCGTGGCGTTTTCCGCGTCGGTGTGCACACTCACATTGGCGCCCTTTGTTTAGTCTCGAGGCGTTAAACGTCGGCGAATATCGCGCGCGAAATTCGTCCCGGTGTGAACAGGCCTTTACACCTGTGTGTGCGTCTCCAGGTATCAGCTGCTGCCGAGACAATCATGGGAGTTTTGGGAAAATTATCTTAAATAATTATAAATAATCTGTATTCATATGTATTAATCATGTTGATGACAACAATGTTGAGATTTGTAAATAAAAAAATATTACATATTAATCATGTACATTTCCTGCACTTGTTATAGACGTCCAAATGAGGCCCAAAAAAAATGACCCAGTTCAAAGGTCAAATGTTGAACGTCAAGATGACGTGTTAGATGGACAGATCAGTACAGCACACAGAACATGTCGGATGCTGGAAAATAACAATGTGTTTTCTGTTCACCAAATGCTTTTTAATATTCGCTATTACTTCAATGCAAGTGAACAAGCGCCGTTATTTGTTGCGTAGTGACGTGTGTGTGTGTGTGTGTGTGTTCAAGTAAGCCAGAAATGCGCCGATTCTGCGATACACTGTGTTTAATATATCATGAGGATCACGAGTTGCGTATTTGCGCTGAATCTGCACAGATTTGTCTTGCACGAACTTCCCCAGCAAAGTGAGTAAACACAGAAACGCCAGATCGGCTCGTGATTCGACAGCGTTTCCCGCCAAAGCTCATTTGTACGCGCATCTGGCGGGTCGAGGGTGTTAATCTCAATCCCTGAATGTTGCGCTCCTGTTTGTCATTGTGCTGAAACTTCACGCCAGTAAATCATCAGGAATATCGCTGACTTGTGCGTCTCAAGCGCCTCTTTACGCTCGGCCTAACGCCTGTTAGGTGTCCGTGGATTTGCCTGTATTTGGTGTTGGAAATGGAAATGTCTTTAGACATGGAAAACAGATTTTACAATCGATTCTTATGTCTCAGAAATCGAACAGGATTTTTTCACAGAAGTGACAGCCCTAGTCCAAATAGTGGAGCTAGTTTGGACGTCGAACAGATGTCCAGAATTGGTCATGGACCGACGGACCCATCTAACGGACCGGGTCTATCCGGCGTCCAATGGGTGAAAACACTGAGTTGAGGAATCATTCACAACTGAGTTAAGAGCATTAAATCCGCCTCATGTTTTTCATACTTACGGCTGGTCATAAATGTCTAAACTGTGTTTCTGTGATTCACAAGCGCCATATTTCCACGAAGCTTGTATTTACGACGCAAACACACACACACACCTCATGGAGATATCGATACGAAACGTCTCTGACTGTCACGTAGCTTTTGATAATAATGGAAAACCTGTTATATTCCAGCCTAATAATAATGATGAACACATAACTTCACTCGATGATTACAGCTCCAGAATGAAGGCTTTCCATTTGTTCACATATTTTCCACAGAAGCGAAGCCGCGTCTCTCAGCATCAACCCCAGCCCATTACCTGCACTCATTCCTGTTTCTCTCGCTGTGTTCTGGTGGAATTACTGAGCTCTCTTGGACAACACTGCACATGTTATTATGGCCTGGTTACCATAGAGATGCATGATAAATACATACGATTGGACGGAGGGTCAGGACACTCCCCCTCCTCCAGCGTGACATCATCAATGGCAATATCCCCCTCGATCCCGGGGCCGCGAATGCCCTCGAATATCACCTGTGTGATGGAAGCAGACACACACACACACACACACACACACACACACACACACACACACTTGCATCACGAGCCTCGACAACATCTCTTCATGATGTGCTGTTAACATATTTACACAAATCCATAATGCATTCTATCTACAGGTGAAACTTGAAAAATATCTCGAATATCGTGCTGAAACTAATATATTATATAGACTCATTACATGCAAAGTGAGATATTTCAAGCCTTTATTTGTTATAATTGTGATGATTATGGCTTATAGCTTATGAAAATGTTAAAAAATTCTGAGATTTTGAATTTGGGGTTTTCATATCTGTAATCCATAATCATCACAATTATAACAAATAAAGGCTTGAAATATCTCACTTTGCATGTAATGGGTCTATATAATATATTAGTTTCAGCTTTTAAGTTGAATTACTGAAATAAATGATAATCTAATTTTTCGAGTTTCACCTGTATACAGTCAAACCATAATTATTCAGACACCAGATATAATTTTTAAATTTTTTTACTAGTGTGTGCAGGACACTATAGTTTATGTAAGTGAGGAGAGCAAAATAAAGTAAACTGTGACATATTACACCCAAATATTCCTCATACAGTGACTAATATGGGAGCAAATATTACTCCTCCACTTTGAGCTGATCATGTTTTGCTGAAGTGTGTTTTCTGTAATTGCTAATGCTCTTTTACACACACACTGAACAACATGAAGCATTGCTTGGTCACTGGTTGAGCTAAACTGGTATTATCTAATTGTGTAGTTAAATTTAACAGCTGACAGATATTCAACATAATTCATGTGTGAGAGTCTAACAGAAGGACGGACAAAACCAGTCAAATATCCACTGAGTTCTGCTCATATTTTATCACCACTATATAAACTGTGATAATGTGAAATGTTGAAGGTGTGTGAGTAGATGCTAGCTGTATTCCCCGCACCTGGAAGGATGAAACCGGATGGATAGTGATTTTGGCGTGTCTCCATCGGTCCCCTTGGTTCCCGCTGAGGGACCACACCGGCCCCGCGTCTGAAGTCGACTGACCTTTCTGCTTCACGAACGCGTTCAGAGAGCCTGCGGGAAAACACAATCAATTCATTTAGCAACGCAGCTCCTCCGACAGAGCAGCTCAAGGCTGAAACGCTGCTGGAGAATCAATCAATCCGGTTACAAACACATGACGTCAATCAAAAGCTGGACAATAACTTTACTCTAGAGCGGCTGTAAAGCCAGAACTATCTCTGTTACTGTAATCTCCTGTTATCACTGTAAAGCTGCTGTGAAACACTGTTAAAAGCACTATATAAATAAAGGTGGCGTGACTTGACAAACAAGTGGATTCTACACAATTCCACGTGTTCTTCTATCGAAGCTGTAGGTTATTCAGCCAGCAATCACGTCTGCTTTACTTTAGGCACAAGGTATGTTGAAACATTAAGGCAAGACAGTTTTGAGGTCTATTTTTCTTCCATAACATCAGAAAAGTGGAAAGAAAACATCCGAAAATACTCTTTATTTATTTTATTGCATTTGATCTATTTGTGTCTGTAGATTTCAATCACGATCCATCTCTTTAAAGACAGCGAGTTTGAGTCAGAAATCTCCACTTCTGCAGGTCTTTATGCGTATCTATATTCAGACATTTTATTCCTAAAAATATGGTGAAAATGTATTTGACTTAAGAAACTCTAGTTTTAGTAAATTGTACCCCTATTGTACTAATTCATCCCCTCTTTGATTTAACTGAAACAAGGGAACAAATGATTATATCATGCGCACAATTTAGTAAAACGAGGGAACTAATTATTATATCTTAATCACTATTTAGTTAAGTGAGCAAACTAATTATACTTTGCGCAAGATTTAGTAAAACGAGGGAATTAATTATTATATTGCACGCAAAATTTTGTAAAACGAGGAAATTAATTATTATATTGTGCGCAAAATTTTGTAAAACGAGGGAATTAATTATTATATTGTGCGCAAAATTTTGTAAAACGAGGGAATTAATTATTATATTGTGCGCAAAATTTATTAAAATGCGGGAATGAATTATTATATTGTGCGCACAATTTAGTAAAACTAGGGAACGAATTATTATATTGTTCGCACAATTTATTAAAACTAGGGAACAAATTATTATATTGTGCACACAATTTAGTAAAACTAGGGAACGAATTATTATATTGTGCACCAAATTTAGTAAAACGAGGGAACAAATTATTATATTGTTCGCACAATTTATTAAAATGCGGGAATGAATTATTATATTGTGCGCACAATTTAGTAAAACTAGGGAACGAATTATTATATTGTGCACAAAATTTAGTAAAACGAGGGAACAAATTATTATATTGTTCGCACAATTTATTAAAATGCGGGAACAAATTATTATATTGTGCGCAAAATTTAGTAAAACGAGGGAACAAATTATTATATTGTTCGCACAATTTATTAAAACGCGAGAACAAATTATTTTATTGTTTGCACAATTTATTAAAATGCGGGAACGAATTATTATATTGTGCGCACAATTTAGTAAAACTAGGGAACGAATTATTATATTGTGCGCACAATTTATTAAATTGCGGGAGCGAATTATTATATTGTGCGCACAATTTATTAAAATGCGGGAACGAATTATTATATTGTGCGCACAATTTAGTAAAACTAGGGAACGAATTATTATATTGTTCGCACAATTTATTAAATTGCGGGAACGAATTATTATATTGTGCGCACAATTTATTAAAATGCGGGAACGAATTATTATATTGTGCGCACAATTTAGTAAAACTAGGGAACAAATTATTATATTGTGCACAAAATTTAGTAAAACGAGGGAACAAATTATTATATTGTTCGCACAATTTATTAAAATGCGGGAACAAATTATTATATTGTGCGCAAAATTTAGTAAAACGAGGGAACAAATTATTATATTGTTCGCACAATTTATTAAAACGCGAGAACAAATTATTTTATTGTTTGCACAATTTATTAAAATGCGGGAACGAATTATTATATTGTGCGCACAATTTAGTAAAACTAGGGAACGAATTATTATATTGTGCGCACAATTTATTAAATTGCGGGAGCGAATTATTATATTGTGCGCACAATTTATTAAAATGCGGGAACGAATTATTATATTGTGCGCACAATTTAGTAAAACTAGGGAACGAATTATTATATTGTGCGCACAATTTATTAAATTGCGGGAACGAATTATTATATTGTGCGCACAATTTATTAAAATGCGGGAACGAATTATTATATTGTGCGCACAATTTATTAAATTGCGGGAGCGAATTATTATATTGTGCGCACAATTTATTAAATTGCGGGAACGAATTATTATATTGTGCGCACAATTTAGTAAAACTAGGGAACGAATTATTATATTGTTCGCACAATTTATTAAATTGCGGGAACGAATTATTATATTGTGCGCACAATTTATTAAAATGCGGGAACGAATTATTATATTGTGCGCACAATTTAGTAAAACGAGGGAACAAATTATTATATTGTATATTGATTATTAAATTATTATATCCCTTTACAATTTAGTAAAACGAGGGAACAAATTATTATATTGCGTGGAAAATTTTGTTAAACAAGGAGATTAATTATTATAATTATTATATATTATTATATTGCGCACAATTTAATTAAAACGAGGGAACAAATTAGCAAAGCGTGCTCAGTAAGGTCACTCGTTAATTCGTGGCCACGATATTCACATACTTGTGTAAGGATGTCATGTGCGGGTCTCTGTAGTTTTCTGTCTGTTCAATCAATCATTTATTTATAAAGCACTTTAAAAACTATAAAAGCATACCAAAGTGCTCTACAATAAAATAAACATTTTATACACAAAGAATGAAAATGAAATATACAAAAATAAGTGAATACATTTTCTGATTTATGATAAAAAAGAGAAATCTAAAATCTCCTCTGTAAAAACCTTTAACTCTAGTGTCAATAAAATCAAACAAGAATTATGAACCCGGCTTTATCCATTGTTCCGATTTATATTCTGGACGGATATGCAAACGTGCATATTTCATTAGAAAAAAAGCTAATTTGCATATTTAAACATAACATGCCAGAAAACCTGTAATGGAGAAAATTTGTAGTGTAATTACTCAGCTTGGGGAAGTGTGGTGTTGTATATTAGTTCATATATTTAAGGGTCTCTTTTGCCTTAAACAGAGATTATGATCATGTTTAGAGCGTTGATGAGTTTACAGAGATAAACAGAAATGAAAGCATGTTAATGAGAGCGAGTTTTTCATCTCTCGTCATATTCCCGGGATGAAGAGTGTGATGTGGAGATGAAGACGTGTTGTGCGGGTCTGCTGTCTCTGCTGGCGAGTGTGTGCTCTGAGATCTGGGGATCAATCCAGCAAACACACGCAAAGAGGAGGAACTCAGAGGCAAACTGTGCAGTGACTCATTAATCAGCTGTGTGTGTGTGTGTGTGTGTGTGTGTGTGTGTGTGTGTGTGTGTGTGTGTGTGTGTGTGAGTGTGAGTGTGAGTGTGTGTGTGTGTGTGTGTGTGTGTGTGTGTGTGTGTGTGTGTGTGTGAGTGTGCGCATGTGTGTGTATATGCAATATTATTGGAATCACTTCTTAAAATGATAATACAGTTCAGCGCAACATGTGCAGCACAAGTCTCATATCGGCTACATACATTTATAATAAGAACATTATAATTGTGTGTTTGGGACGTGGCTTTTATTGGTGAGACTTTTGTTTTGGTAATCAGGCTCTCAAAAATTATATAAAAACTTGGATTTAGATTTATCAGCCGATATATCGGTTATCGGCTTTCAAATATAAAGAATTATCGGTATCGGGCATTTTTTCATATCGGTGCATCTCTACATTAAAACCAAGATTTAATATTACAGGAAACATGGCAAACGTACTTCTTATTCAGAAGCTAAAGAAAATAAATATGTTTTTAAATGAAAACCTTAAAAGTGAGTTTAATGTCATTTAATGTAAATTATCGGTTATCGGTAATTTGCAACATATCGCTGCATCTCTAGTCATGCTAATGCTAATGCTAATGCTGGAGTGGTTTCTGCATGAATCAGTTTCAGTGATAAAGCGAGAGTTTCTCTGACATCACTGCACTGTTTCAGCTTCAGGAATGTGTGTGTGCGGATCTTACCGATGTGTTTGCCGTACATGTGGTAGTAGAAGCTGAAGCAGTACGCCGGCGGGCTGGTGATGCTGTAGGGATTCTTCGGCGCGACGTTAAACGCAGGACTCAATAATCGAGCCGTGTCGCCCTCTTTACGAGGTCTCGAGGTCTCGATGTACATGTAGAAACCTGGTGATCACACCCACACACACGATTTAACACAAGCCTCAGGTGGCAAAATATACTTGACTATAATATATATGACTAATATACAATAAACTATTATATAGTCGCTGTCGGGGGGAAATCTCCTATCTCCAAAACTGCTGCTTTTCGGGAAATAGGAAAAAACACTGTATTTGAAATAATTAAACACTGTAAACTACTGACATACGTGACAAACACACTCTTCTCCGCTCCTCAAACACATAAAACATCAGCCTTTATATATATAGTGTTTCTTGAGTGAAGAAAACGCTGTACTTATCAAAACAAACAGTCTTTATTCACCATCGCATTGCAGACAAGCAGAGACACTCCACTTCATTCATGATAGAGGTGGGCGGAGTTATGAGGTTTGATTGACAGTTTGAGGAGCCAATGGAGTTACACGCTTCAGTCACAAGCTCTTTTTAATACTTTTTCATCGGTTAAATATTTGCAAATCCCACAGACAGACGTAAAGGGTGACCGATAGTAATGATTTTTTACAAAAAAAATACAATTTGTGAAATATGGAGATATGAGGTTGCTGCCCGACAGCGACGATATATACATAAATAATATAATAATTAAATATATAAAAATAAAATAGTATTATTATACAAAAAAATATTTAAATTATGATAATAATACATTTATTCAAATTCAAAATAGCTTTATTGGCTGAGAATAAAGAATTCATAAATATAGGAGGGACTATTTGTGAGAAACATAATTTTATATTATTTATACACTCTAAAAAATGCTGGGTTGTTTTAAACCAAATTTGGGTCAAATATGGACAAACCCAAATGTTGGGTTAAAATGAAATTATAAAATGTACAGTTGAAAGTGAAAGTTGAAGTTGGGTTAAAATTTTAAATTACATTTTTAACCCAACTTTTGGGTTTGTCCATATTTGACCCAAATTTGGGTTAAAACAACCCAGCATTGTTTAGAGTGTATACTATGCATTTATCTGACAAAATTATTTGGTCAAAAAAGGCTAAGTACAGCAACAGGTTTTATTTAACTAAGCAAAAAATAAAATGCATTGAAAAACAAAAAGCTGATAGGAAAATAACCATAAATAATCAGTTATTAATATTTACTTGGGTGGGTCTCTCATAATTAAAAAATTATATTGCACAATTTGTCATGTTTCATAGCGCTATTTTCACAAATAAAACAATCGACTCCAATCACAACTACGCAGTTTGATTACAAAATCTTTGTCACATTTACAAACAATTTCTGAATGTCAGTATTCCTCTTGTAATGTGTGTGTCGTTCTTCAGAGCCTCGTCTCACTGGCAGTCGGGCTGAAAAACCCTGCAGCCAACATCAAACACAATCTCCTCTCTTGAATTTGATGAGCAATAATTAAAGTCTCTGTAGGACTCTTGATGTTAATAAAACGCCGGACAGTTTGGAAGCATCAGGGTGATTAAAGCGAATGTATTATTTACACGGGGACCGTCGAGGACGTGTTAACCGGCGCTCGCTCCCTCCGGAGTAAAAATACATTTCAAAAAAAATAAAAGGAGTTCATCCCGATTCATTCACATCCGGCACTGGCATGCATTGTCTCAGTTTGGGAATAGACAACCTCATTTGGAAAGCCGAATTTCATCTGAATGAAATCACTCCGAGTGGTAATTGGAACTCGGCCGCGGATATGAATGAAATTCAAGATAACTTCAGAAATCAACATGAGGATTTGGGCGCGAGTCTCTCGGGTGGGATATTCCAGAAGTTTCCCTCCGGAAAGAAGATAAGCTTCTTATGACAAAATGACCATTTCGTAAAGGATTGAGGGATCGTCGTACGGACAGGAGGGTTACCCACACACACACAAAAAAAAAACGTTGGGTTACACATATTGGGTCACTATATTGGGTTATTTTTCAAAAAATGTTGGGTCATTTTTAAAATCGATGGGTAATTTCTAGTAATAACCCGGTTGTTGGGTTAAATACGTATGTTGTATACTGTTGTGTATTTTGAATTATGTACACAATTATGTATAGGCTATATTTACATTAAATGCTAGACTCCCCAATATTTAGTTTGTAATTAAAAAACAATATTTGTTAAGACATATTTCATGTCTTATACAAATAGACAATCTGTATTTGAAAACAAAGTGTATTTTATTTATTAAAATAATGTCATAAGTAAAAATAAATAGTTAACTTAACTGTTGGGTTACTTTTAACCCTACTGGCTTTTAACCCAATGCATTGTGTTAAAATAACCCACAGTTGGGAAGGTGCTGCTATACCGCCACATACACTGTTAAAAAAAAGTTGCTGCTTTTATTTTTTAAGTACAATCAACTTGGATGTTTAAGTCATTTCAACTTAAATTACATTAAACTGACTTAAAAAAAAATTGTTGAATCTTGAATAACTTATAAAAAAAGTTGAAAATTGCTTAACTTATTTTGATGAGTTAAAGCAATGTAAAAACATATGTTGTCATAACTTATTGATCATCATTTTTTACAGTGTAGTTGGGTTAGTCGTTGGGTTATTTTTAACCCAGCATTATTAAGTGAGTACCCTGCTTTGAGCCGGCCCGGTCCCCGCTGGGACCCGTGTTCGGGGTGTATTTGGTGTCGCGGGTCGCGGCGCTGTGTCTCATCCAATCAAAGTCGTCGTTCTTGTCCTGAGTGAACATGCAAATGGGCTCCTCTTCAAAGCTGCAGTGAAACTCTCCTGGAGAAGAAAGAAGAGCAGGGTTAGTTCAGCATTTACTCATCCGCGTGCGTCCCAAACACATATGGACGTTATTCTGTGCAACTGCAAGAACCTTTGAACTGCTCTATTCACATAATGAAGGTGAACGGAGCCGTTGTGGATGATTATCAGTCTTACATTTGAGTCTGTCTCTATCATAGCTCGTTTCCGCCACAGAATAAAAAATAAAAAAGGTAATTGCGGCTTTTTATCTATACTTTTACACGCAATTCTGAATATAACACAATTGCAACTTTAAATCTCGCAATTCTGACTTTATATCACGCAATTCTGACTTTAAATCTCACAATTCGGACTTTATATCTCGCAATTCTGACTTTCTATCATGCAATTCTGACTTTAAATCTCGTAATTCTGACTTTATATCACGCAATTATGACTTTATATCACGCAATTATGACTATATCTCGCAATTCTGACTTTATATCTCGCAATTCTGACTTTAAATCTCGCAATTCTGACTTTATATCACGCAATTCTGACTTTATATCTCGCAATTCTGACTTTATATCTCGCAATTCTGACTTTAAATCTCGCAATTCTGACTTTATATCTCGCAATTCTGACTTTAAATCTCGCAATTCTGACTTTAAATCTCGCAATTATGACTTTATATCTCGCAATTCTGACTTTAAATCTCGCAATTCTGACTTTATAACACGCAATTCTGACTTTAAATCTCGCAATTCTGACTTTATATCACGCAATTCTGACTTTAAATCTCGCAATTCTGACTTTAAATCTCGCAATTCTGTCTTTATATCTCGCAATTCTGACTTTCTATCATGCAATTCTGACTTTAAATCTCGTAATTCTGACTTTATATCACGCAATTATGACTTTTATATCTCACAATTATGACTTTATATCACGCAATTATGACTTTATATCACGCAATTATGACTTTTATATCTCACAATTATGACTTTATATCTCGCAATTCTGACTTTATATCTCGCAATTATGACTTTATATCTCGCAATTATGACTTTATATCTCGCAATTATGACTTTATATCACGCAATTATGACTTTTATATCTTGCAATTCTGACATTAAATCTCGCAATTCTGACTTTATATCTCGCAATTCTGACTTTATATCTCGCAATTCTGACTTTAAATCTCGCAATTCTGACTTCATATCACGCAATTCTGACTTCAAATCTCGCAATTCTGACTTTAAATCTCGCAATTCTGACTTTAAATCTCGCAATTCTGACTTTATATCTCGTAATTCTGACTTTAAATCTCGCAATTCTGACTTTATATCTCGTAATTCTGACTTTAAATCTCGCAATTCTGACTTTATATCTCGTAATTCTGACTTTATATCTCGCAATTATGACTTTATATCTCGCAATTATGACTTTATATCTCGCAATTATGACTTTATATCTAACGATTCTGACTTTTATATCTCGCAATTATGACTTTATATCACGCAATTATGACTATATATCACGCAATTATGACTATATATCTCGCAATTATGACTTTATATCTCGCAATTGTGAATTTATATCTCGCAATTATGACTTTATATCACGCAATTATGACTTTTATATCTCGCAATTCTGACTTTAAATCTCGCAATTCTGACTTTAAATCTCGCAATTCTGACTTTATATCTCGTAATTCTGACTTTAAATCTCGCAATTCTGACTTTATATCTCGTAATCCTGACTTTATATCTCGCAATTATGACTTTATATCTCGCAATTATGACTTTATATCTAACGATTCTGACTTTTATATCTCGCAATTATGACTTTATATCACGCAATTATGACTATATATCACGCAATTATGACTTTTATATCTCGCAATTATGACTTTAAATCTCGCAATTCTGACTTTATAACTCAGAATTGCGAGATATAAAGTCAGAATTGCGAGATAAAATGTCGCAATTATCTTTTAAAATGTTTTATTCTGTGGCGGAAACAAACTTCCATATGTTTCTCACTGTGTCTCGCTTGAAAAATACTGCACAAGACAGTTATGAAGCCTTTTTGACCTGATAGTGTCCGTGTGTGTTTGTAAAAGAGCATCTCAGAGACTCTTCAACAGCATGAGGGCGAGTACATGACGACAGGTCTGTCATTAACACACACACACACACACACACACACACACACACACACACACACAGTACAGGGACATTCAAAGTGACAACAACAGACCCTTGTGGAATCATGTCTGATTTACTAAACACTCTTCATATCTCACACTCATCTGGAGGAACAAGTCATTGGCATTCAGCAGGTGTTGTTTGTTGATAAATATTCATTGATTTTATTAAAATCCGCGCCGCGACCTTCGGATGGGGAGCAGCCTGGAGTGCTTTTTGAGTAAGTGGGCTTACGGTCCCTCGCTGAAGACCAGCGCCTCTCGACTCCTGCACTCGCTTCACTACGGGGGATTTAAATAGAGTTTTTACCCCTGATGACCAAACTAATGCAGGAGATCAGGAGGACAGAACCAGCAGACGAGAGAGAGAGAGAGAGAGAGAGAGAGAGAGAGAGAGAGAGAGAGAGAGAGAGAGAGAGAGAGAGAGAGAGGGGGAGTAGAGACTCGGCAGAGAGAGAGAGAGAGAGAGAGAGAGAGAGAGAGAGAGAGAGAGAGAGAGAGAGAGAGAGAGAGAGAGAGAGAGGGGGAGTAGAGACTCGGCAGAGAGAGAGAGAGAGAGAGAGAGGGGGGGAGTAGAGACTCGGCAGAGAGAGAGAGAGAGAGACGAGGAGTAGAGACTCGGCAGAGGGAGAGAGAGAGAGAGAGAGAGAGAGAGAGAGAGAGGGAGAAAAGACTCGGCAGAGAGAGGGAGAGAGAGAGAGACGAGGAGTAGAGACTTGGCAGAGAGAGAGAGAGAGGGGGGAATATTTCATCTGGGATTCTTTCATGAAAGTCATGAAAACAACTAGAGAACAGGTGACTAACTAAAACTAACCAGACACAAGAAGGAAAGAATAGAGAGATAGATGGATGGATGGATAGATAGATAGATAGATAGATAGATAGATAGATAGATAGATAGATAGATAGATAGATAGATAGATAGATAGATAGATAGATAGATAGATAGATAGATAAAGAAAGAAAGAATAGTGTTAAATTAATACTTACTCAGATGAGGATTGACTGGAGCTGTGAAGAGAAAAAATGAAAAAGAGAAAAAATATAATTTATTATAATCAACTTTATATGTTCCAAATTGACCCTAATTGGATTTAATTTAATTACGAAAATCACTCTACGAAATCAAAACCTTTAATATTCACACTTCTCACACATTACGAAAAATAAACATGAGAACATATGATATTCAGATAACACTTTACAACAAGGATCCATTAGTTGAGACTTTTCCTCTAGTTTGTGGCGTTCCTCAGGGCTCGGTTCTGGGGCCGCTGCTGTTCTCTAGGGTTTCCTTCCTCAGACCTCTATTCGTTGAAAGTATTTTTTTTTTGCCGATGATCTTCAGTTTTATTTGCCTGTGAGTTTAGATAAAACATGTTCTCTGGACGTGAAGTACATGAATGTTAAAGTGACATTAAACTCTGGAATAGTCTCCCACTCCACGTCAGGTCAGCTTATTCTTTGCCACTTCTAAGATTTTAATTTAAAAACGGATTTATTTTCTTTAGCTTCTGATTAAGACATGTTTGCCATGTTTCCTGTAATATTAAATCTTGGTTTTAATGTAGAGATGCACCGATATGAAAATTTTGGCCGATACCGATAACCGATAATTCTTCATATTTGAAAGCCGATAACCGATATATCGGCCGATAAATTTAAATCCAAATTGTTATGTATTTTTTGAGAGCCTGATTACAAAAACTAAAGTCTCACAATTAAAATCCACGTCCCAAACACACAATTATAATGTTTTCATCATAATTTTATTAAGGCTACATGACAGACATGTTGCACTGAACTGTATTTTTCTTTTTTTAAGTGATTCCAATCATATTTCAAACAATTCAAAAGCATCATGTTGAACAGTGCGCATCTGAAGCGTCTCAGCTGAAGGAAATAATACATTATTTATCGGCTTTAATATATCAGCCCAATTTTCTTTTCAGGCCGATAATGTTAACATTAAATAAGTGGCTGATATATTGTGTATCCCTATTTTAATGACATTATTGTTGTAAAGCACGTCTGTTGTCTGTAAATGTGCTATATAAATAAAGTTGCTTGCTTGCTGAAAGTACAACTGTTCATTGTTAGTTCATGTCAGTTGAAAATAACATTAACTAAGATTAATAAGTGATTTAGAAGTATTTTTCATTGTTAGCTCATATTACCTAATGAACCCTTATTGTAAAGCAATTTTTGAAACAACAACAACTATTTTTATAGTATATTATAACATATAATATAACAAACTGTGATTTTTTTTAAACATTGTAACTATATATATATATATATAAATAATTTTAATAATAATAATAATAATAATTCCAAACAGAAGTGTGGAAAACCTTGACAGCATTTAAACGCCTCCATCATGAGCATAAATGTTAATATAAGCACCAAACGAATCACCTCAGCAGGTTTAGCGTGTCTGTGATCAAAAGAGTGTGTGAAACTACAGCAGACACACGTGACGCGTGATCAAAAACACACTTCTGACTCCCTCCGGCTCAGATTACCGCTGTGATTGTTTTCCACTCATAACTGACCGGCGATCTCCAGAGAAACATGAATTAATTATCGTTAACATTTGGATGTGATGTAACGTCATGAAATGTTGGCTTCTGGATTAATGTGCCTCACAAAAATGATGAAATGAGCCGCGGACGGTAAACGAAAGCAAGAGGAAAAACAACACAGACAATCTGAGGATCTGATAATACATTTAAATATAAATGTATATAGCCTATATGTATATATTATATATATACACTCACCTAAAGGATTATTAGGAACACCACACTAATACTGTGTTTGACCCCCTTTCGCCTTCAGAACTGCCTTAATTCTACGTGGCATTGATTCAACAAGGTGCTGAAAGCATTCTTTAGAAATGTTGGCCCATATTGATAGGATAGCATCTTGCAGTTGATGGAGATTTGTGGGATGCACATCCAGGGCACGAAGCTCCCGTTCCACCACATCCCAAAGATGCTCTATTGGGTTGAGATCTGGTGACTGTGGGGGCCATTTTAGTACAGTGAACTCATTGTCATGTTCAAGAAACCAATTTGAAATGATTGGAGCTTTGTGACATGGTGCATTATCCTGCTGGAAGTAGCCATCAGAGGATGGGTACATGGTGGCCATAAAGGGATGGACATGGTCAGAAACAATGCTCAGGTAGGCCGTGGCATTTAAACGATGCCCAATTGGCACTAAGGGGCCTAAAGTGTGCCAAGAAAACATCCCCCACACCATTACACCACCACCACCAGCCTGCACAGTGGTAACAAGGCATGATGGATCCATGTTCTCTTTCTGTTTACGCCAAATTCTGACTCTACCATCTGAATGTCTCCACAGAAATCGAGACTCAGACCAGGCAACATTTTTCCAGTCTTCAACTGTCCAATTTTGGTGAGCTCTTGCAAATTGTAGCCTCTTTTTCCTATTTGTAGGGGAGATGAGTGGTACCCGGTGGGGTCTTCTGCTGTTGTAGCCCATCCGCCTCAAGGTTGTGCGTGTTGTGGCTTCACAAATGCTTTGCTGCATACCTCGGTTGTAACGAGTGGTTATTTCAGTCAAAGTTGCTCTTCTATCAGCTTGAATCAGTCGGCCCATTCTCCTCTGACCTCTGGCATCAACAAGGCATTTCCGCCCACAGGACTGCCGCATACTGGATGTTTTTCCCTTTTCACACCATTCTTTGTAAACCCTAGAAATGGTTGTGTGTGAAAATCCCAGTAACTGAGCAGATTGTGAAATACTCAGATCGGCCCGTCTGGCACCAACAACCATGCCACGCTCAAAATTGCTTAAATCACCTTTCTTTCCCATTCTGACATTCAGTTTGGAGTTCAGGAGATTGTCTTGACCAGGACCACACCCCTAAATGCATTGAAGCAACTGCCATGTGATTGGTTGATTAGATAATTGCACTAATGAGAAATTGAACAGGTGTTCCTAATAATCCTTTAGGTGAGTGTATGTATATATGTGTTCCTAAAAGGCCATTTTCCCCCTGGATTTATTGTTAAATCTATTCAAAATTAGTAAATATAACAAAAAAACCTGTCTTTAAATATAAATTTTAATACAAATATTTATAACAGTGTTAAAAGTAAATGTTCTGCTAATACATGCAATGAGCAGATTCTCTTTCAGCTCAACTTCTGTCAAAATCGAACAACAGCTTGAACAGAATCTTCAAGTTAAAGTTAGTTTAAAAAGTGAATTAAAAAGTGCCTGTAATAAAGTTTGACCTGCATGACCCGATCACAATCAAATATGCATGTGAATGATTCACCGAAATACATAAATGCATTAAGACTGACGCTTTACAGTCTCATTATAAACTCTGAGAGCTTCACAAACATTTCATGCAAGTTTCATGCTCAAGAAATCACTTACAATCTCACATTTATTATTTGTGCATGTAAACGGAAGGAATGCAGTAATGGAAAGTTCAATAAATTATTCACATTATAAAAGGAGGGAAGAGCCGTTTGAGCTGGTGAACCTGTAAAGTCTTCACCGCAGTTTTATTGCTCAAAACAACAGCCGAACACTCGCAGTGAACCAGGTAAAGGTCAGAGTAACTAACGCCTCTTGTTTCAGTGAGTCTTTTCGCTGTAAACACAATCTAGAGCGCCATGAAGACACACAGGAATCGATTTCTGTCACGCTGGATAGATGCGGCGCATCGGCGTAACCGCAAACTTTGTTAATGCGGAGTGATTCATGAAATGCTTTTGCCAACTGAAAGAATTGATTTTTATGCACTCGATTAAACACACTAATCACAAATCATCTCAAAGCAAACGTGTCTGGAGAATATTGGAAGAATATATATATAATGGCATCTGTTGCATGCTGTAAATAACCACAGACAATGATTTCCACACATCCTGCAAACAAACATCACATGGCTCTGCAACAGTGCTTTTATGGTGGAGTTGATCAACCCTGATCATTTGAAAGCGCAAATAAGAATTATTCAGCAAAAATCGGCCTAATGTCCACTATAGCGTCTGCAGCAACATTGAGAACATAACATGCACATTCATAACAGTAAGCTTGCGTACAGGTGAAACTAAAAAAAATTGAATATGGTGCAAAAGTTCATTTATTTCAGTAATTCAACTTAAAAGCTGAAACTAATATATTATATAGACTCATTACATGCAAAGTGAGATATTTCAAGCCTTTATTTGTTATAATTTTGATGATTATGGCTTACAGATATGAAAACCTTTTCACAATATTCTAATTTTGACTTTGGGGTTTTCATAAGCTGTAATCCATAATCATCAAAATTATGACAAATAAAGGCTTAAAATATATCTCACTTTGCACATAATGGGTCTCATTCATGAAACATTCGTAAATATACGAGTAAATATGAGAGTGATTTGCGCGTAAAGAGACCTTCCCGAAAACTCTTCTCCTGATTCACAAATACTTCGTAAACGTCAGTTGTGATCGTGAAGTGTGTGTGTGTTAATGAATTCCAATCAGTCGTAAATGGGATGCGTGTGCACGTTCATTCTCAATTAGCATAAATCCCGCCCATTAAATCCGACTGACAACTATATATGGGCATCATATTATGACATGAATACGAATGAAAAAAAAAATTTCAGATGCAGAAATTGAAGTTTTATTATCAGAAGTTCATTCAAAACGCCACATTTTATTTTCAAGCGTACATAGGCGTATCGGGTCCTAAAAAAAAGCAAGCTTGGCAGCGTATTACAGATGCAGTTAATGGAGTTTCATCTAATAATCGAACATTCCCAGAAGTGAGAAGAAAATGGTTCGACATTAAGCTTGAGAGCAAAAAACGAATTAGTTCACTTCGGAAAAATAGTATTCAAACTGGAGAAGGACCACCATCGCAGATGCTATTACTGGCTCTCATAATAAGAAAAACCGTATGTAATTACTATATATAATATTTTTTCAAAATGCTGTGCAAATATGTACCCGATTAAGGGGAATTAAAATGCAGCCTTATTAATGAGCACAACGTTCGGGTGTTAAGCGCACTATTTACGCGTGGCTGGGAGCAGGTGTAGATTTCTTGTGTACCAACTAACATTTGGAAAATACGAACATTTTAATGAATCCGAAAATTTACGCCAGAACCACTTTAGACACGATTTACACAAAAATTCGTTCTGCTCGTGTTTCATGAATGAGACCCAATGAGTCTATATAATATATTAGTTTCACCTTTTAAGTTGAATTACTGAAATAAATGAACTTTTGCACGATATTCTAATTTCTCGAGTTTCACCTGTAGATGAAAAACAACTTGGAATATTACTTTTACACTGCCGACTGCTTAAATCCCTTTGTTTATTTTTCCATCACTGTCTGGATAAGATTTAACAGTTTAACAATAATGCGTCGAAGAGCATCACTTTATACCGACAGATAAAAGCTGTAAGATAAAGCATCAAACACAAACGAACATTACGTCATCGATTTAGAAGACGGGAAACATCCGAGATGAAGCTTTTCATGAGCTTTTTAGTGTCAGGGTGACATAAATATGAGCATTAGAGGATTAAATCCATCAAACCGCATTCATCTGAACACTTGCGACGCCTCGAACAATCCACACGACGATAATAAACGCTGACAGTCGATTCACAGGAAGGATGAATCATTTCTGAGAAATGCCAAATGATGCATTTACTCTTGCGGCGACATTATCATATTATCATTCAGGAATAAAACAGATCTCTCCTGGAGTGAAGGGGCTCTTTTGTCTAGCGCTTTATCAACCCGCAAGTGGAGAAATCAGCAAACTGAGACGCCACCTCCTCCTCCTCCTCCTCCTCCTCCTCCTCTACCTCCTCCTCCTCCTCGTCCTCGTCCTCGTCCTCTACCTCCTCCTCCTCCTCCTCCTCCTCCTCCTCCTCCTCCTCCTCCTCCTCGTCTGTGTCATTGTGTTTCAGACAGAACGTAAGAAAAGAGGATTGTCGTCTCCATTATGAGACGCAGATTTCTAAAGGCTGTTTTGCTTCTGAGAAAGAGGAACGAGAATCTACACGTTCCAGGTCAGTTTTCTTAAGTACATCAGGATGTTAAAGAGGCCATTTTATCTTACTGTTATCTAAGAACAGGTTTTCCTGCTTGAATGTTTATTATTCTCCTCATATTCTCCATTGTTGCGGCTCCTCTCTTCCCAGTCTGTCAGTAACGCTCTGTTTACTTCCTGTCTCTATGAAGCCCCTCCTTCTGAAAAGCACACTGTGCTCTGATTGGTCGACTGGAGCAGTGTGTTGTGATTGGTCGAGCGCTTCGAGAGTGTTTGGGAAATGCCCCGCCCCTTTTCATAACCGCCAGTTTCATCCATAGACTGTAAATAAATATGTGCGTAGTGTGTGTGTGACGTCACCCGTAGTGTTTCTGAAGAGCGTTTTCGAAGCCCAAAGTGGGCGGAGCCGGCCGTCGCCATCTTGGCCGCGTCACTCCTGGATAAACGTAAATGTGCAGCGAGGCGGATTAGCTGAGGTGACGTGACGCTAACACACAGCAAACAAACGCTAGCAGTGACATCAGCGGCAATCCACCTGTCACTCAAATGGCCACGCCCTTAATTATGCACAACTTTAAGGCTTAATATAATTTTAACGGATGAGTTATAAAAAAAATTCACCCCCTCACAGTCGTCATGAAGGGCAACATTAGCGATATAGACCAAAACCACTTTTTGCACCAGACTGTAAACATGTTTTTTTCTGCTGTAAAGTTGGGCATTTTAACATGCGGGTCTATGGGAGTGAGTCTCTTCTGCAGCCGGCCTCTAGTGGCCAGTGGAGGAACTGCAGTTTAACTCACTCAGTGTCGGATTCGAGAGAGAGATCGGAAGGTTGACGCTTGGTTTCAAAACACTACTAACGAACTCAACCAGGCCCCGCCCCTTTATTCTGCGTATGAATTATTTAAATGAGGAATATTGTGACGTGTTCGTTCCCGGAAGAAACGTTTCAGGACTTCAGAAACACTGACACTGATATAGAGAATAACTCACTTGTTCATCCTCAAAGAGCAACATTACACACACTAAAGAAAGATCAACATCACGTTTAATATTATATGGCTTCCCACAGTCACATAAAACACCCGTTTTAAAGCCGCATTTGATTATCGGCCACTTTATAAACTCCCAGGCCAGACTAATCAGGCGTAATGCAGAGAACAAAGTCACGTAGACGTTATTTATCTCCGTTAAGCCAGAGTCGACCCGCCAAACAATATCCCATCCGCTTTCATGTTTCAATATGTTTAATAGATTAAAGATTAACAAGTAACCTCATTTCAGACCTTCTTGAGTCGGTCGCGCAACAAAAGCAAATGCTGAAAGCACACAGACACTTCATTCAGCTCTGGCCTCGAACCAGCGGACAAGATGTGCTTTATTTTAGTACACATAATAATATGTAGGTTTCATATCTTGCTGTATCAATGCAAACGGCTGTGATTTTAACCCTCACGAGTGAATGAAAATCATAATTCTCTCATGCATTGAAAATAACACAGTTTAGGATTTACTTTGAAATGTTTGCACTCAGAAAATACTAGTACATTTCACAAATAATTACAAAGAAACAACAATTAATTTTGAATTAAATGTACAAAATTGGAAGTGGAAAAGCTGGAAACGTACTTGTTGTAGTTCAGCGAAATACTGAAATTAATTATTTGCTTTTGCATCATCCAAACTTTTTCTTTTTGTTCTGGATTGATCTTCACGAGAGACGGCGCATATTAATTATTAACCAGCAGCCGACACATAAAACACAATCAAACTGAAGCTGCAAACGAGCAGATCGCAAACACCGAACTCTCATCAGCTAATCACTTCCAGCGCTGAACTAATGATCTTAACCTTATTCTTGAACATTTAAACCTTATTTTTTCAACTAAAACACTGCTTTTATTCATCAAGGACGCATTAAATTGATCAAGAGTGACGGTAAAGACATTTAAAATGTTACAAAAGATTCTATTTCATATAAATGCTGTTCTTTTGAACTTTCCATTTATCAAAGAATCCTGAAAAATAAATAAAATGTATCAAAAATGTGAAAATATTCACCATTCATGAGCATCAGATCCTCATATAGAGTGATTTCTGAAGGATCATGTGACACTGAAGACTGGAGTAATGATGCTGAAAATACAGCTTTGATCACAGGAATAAATTACACTTTACTGTATATTCACATAGAAAACAGCTGATTTACATTGCAATAATATTACACTATTTTTACTGTATTTTGATCATTTAAATGCAGCTTTGGTGAGACTCCTTCATGTACCAAAGCTTGAGTACTTAAAAATATCTCAACTGAACAATAGTAAATAGCTCATGAACTCTGGAATGATCATGCAAACCAGTGTTTGTGTGGAGTATTATTCTTTTATTTTTAAAGTTTAGAGGATTTAAGTTAATCCGTAAACATTAATTCATGTATGAAGTAAAAAAAAATAAAAAAGCTAGTGCTATAGTAAAAACTGAATCAACCCAGTATAATGGGTTAAATCAACCCAATGAATAAACAACCCAATGTGCTGGGTAAAATTAACCCAACATGTGTTCTGTGAGTTAAACTGCAGTTCCTCCACTGGCCACTAGAGGCCGGCTGCAGAAGAGACTCACTCCCATAGACCCGCATGTTAAACTTTACAGCAGAATAAAACATGTTTACAGTCTGGTGCAAAAAGTGGTTTTGGTCTATATCGCTAATGTTGCCCTTCATGACGACTGTGAGCGGGTGAATTTTTTTATAACTCATCCGTTTAAATTATATTAAGCCTTAAAGTTTTGCATAATTAAGGGCGTGGCCACTTGAGTGACAGGTGGATTGCCGCTGATGTCACTGCTAGCCGTTTGTCTGCTGTGTGTTAGCATCACGTCTCCTCAGCTAATCCGCCTCGCTGCACATTTACGTTTATCCAGGAGTGACGCGGCCAAGATGGCGACGGCCGGCTCCGCCCACTTTAGGCTTTGAAAACGCTCTTCAGAAACACTACAGGTGACGTCACACACACACTACACACATATTTATTTAAAGTCTATGATTCTGTCTTATATTTACCCAGCCCTTGTGTTGAAAACAACCCAAATTGTGCTGTTTTTAACCCAGTGTGTTTCATGCGTGACGTACCGCTGTACGTGACGATCCTGGTGGTCGAATCTCCCTCTCCGAAGCGAGTGATCGGCGTGAGTCGGACCACGTAGGCCTCGGGTCGGATGAGCTCCGTCAGGTTGTGTGTGATCAGCTCTCCCTTCTGGATGTTCCCCTCCACGGGGATCTCCTGCTCCCACCAGCGCTGCTGCCCCGTCTGAGGGAGAAATCAGGGGAAACACAGTCCTGTGAGGGTATTAAAGAGGACATTTTATCTTGATGATGTTTCAGGCTCTACTAGAACAGGTTCTCCTGCTTGAATGTTGATTATTCTCCTCATATTCTCCATTGTTGCGGCTCCTCTCTTCCCAGTCTGTCAGTAACGCTCTGTTTACTTCCTGTCTCTATGAAGCCCCTCCTTCTGAAAGCACACTGTGCTCTGATTGGTCGGCTGGAGCAGTGTGTTGTGATTGGTCGAGCGCTTCAAATGTGTTTGGGAAATGCCCCGCCCCTTTCCATAACCGCCAGTTTAACACACTACTAACTAACTCAACCAGGCCCCGCCCCTTTATTCTGCGCATTAATTATTATAATGAGGAATATTGTGGCGTGTTTGTTCCCGGGAGAAACTCGAGACTACAATGGAGGCGTTTCAGGAGTTCAGGAACACTGATATAGAGAAGAACTCACTTATTCATCCTCAAACAGGGACATCACACACACTAAACACAGATGAAGAATGCCATAATGTGAAGCACATTCACACTGCAGATAAACACAGATTCAATCCGCTTCAGTTCACACACTTACATGCACGTTATTAAAGGAACAGTTCACCAAAGCGATCAGTATCATCTTTAACTTTCTTCTGTGGGACATAAAAAACATATTTTGAGAAGTGTCTGTGTTTTTTTTTTTTGTCCATACAATGAAAGTCAATGGGGTCCAAATCTTGTTTGGTCAAAATATCTTCTTTTGATAACACTTTACATAATTTTTTAACTACTTCTACATTTCGGAACCTTTACTGATACATTATTCAATGTTATTATATTATATCTGTTATTATTTAATGGACTTGAACTAATATGAACTAACAATGAACAGTTGTATTTTTATTAACTAACATTTAACATTTAAGATGAATAAATGCTAAAACAAATGTAATGCTCAGTGTTTGTTAATGCATTTACTAACATTACTTTTGCCACCATATTTAAATTTAGTTCAGTTTAGTTATTTCAGTGCTGCAGGTTAAGCTTAACGAACACGAGAAATGTTGATTGCCAACAAGCTGAAATAAAATATGTTTATGTCTTTAATGTTAATTTTATTTCAAGCAATTACTTTTTTTTAAAGGTTTTTGTTTTAATTAATTTTAGTGAGCAATAATATCCCTGCTGCAAAACACATTCCCATCAGCTAAACATTAGTTTCACTGCGATGAGCCTGCAGACTAATGCTGGAAACTCCCCGTGCTTGAGCAGAACGGATCTAATTAAAGCTGAAAGCTGCTGGTTTCGGGAGCAAACAGCTTTAGTTAACTGGTAAAGTGCTGTTTTGCTACTGGTAATCACCGGCGGCCCTTCGGATCCTGTCAAACCCCGTTTCCCAGGCAGGAGCGAGAGTTAACCAGATCAGAGAGTGTTTGAGTCACGGCCAGATTCAGCTCAAACCCCCCGTTACACCAGTAAACACCAGCAGTCCCAGTACAGCTCGCCAGTCCCAGTACAGCTCGCCAGTCCCAGTACAGCTCGCCAGTCTGGCCGCTTTAGCACATTAGGAGACCGCTCTCCTTCAAACGGCTGCTGTAACGTGGCCAGCTGACCTCGAACTGACAAATACAATGAATTCAATGAAATCAATTAAATAGTAATCAAAATAAAATAAAATAAAATACAAAAAAAACTATATAAAAAATAATAATAAAAAAATTAAATCACAAAGACATGAGAAAAAGAAAGTTTAAAAGTAAAATGTAAAAATAATAAATAATATAAAATTACTCATGAATACATGCGTAAAAATTGCAAAATAAAATTAAATACATGTGTAAATAAATACAAAAATAAAATAAAATAAAATTACTCATGAAGACATGTATTTAATTTTATTTTGCCTTTTTTACACGTCTTCATGAGTAATTTTATTTTATTTTTGTATTTATTTACACATGTATTTACTTTAATTTTGCAATTTTTACGCATGTCTTCATGAGTAATTCTATTTTATTTTTGTATTTATTTACACATGTATTTAATTTTATTTTGCATTTTTTACGCATGTCTTCATGAGTAATTCTATTTTATTTTATTTTTGTATTTATTTACACATCTATTTAATTTTATTTTGCCTTTTTAACACGTGTAAATAAATACAGAAATAAAATAAAATAACTCATGAAGATATGAGTAAAAATTGCAAAATAAAATTTAATACATGTGTAAATAAATACAAAAATAAAATAAAATAAAATTACTCATGAAGATATGAGTAAAAATGGCAAAATAAAATTAAATACATGTGTAAATAAATAAAAAAATAAAATAGAATTACTCATGAAGACATGCGTAAAAATTGCAAAATTAAAGTAAATAGATCTGTAAATAAGTAAAAATAATAATAAAATGACTCACAAAGACACGAGTAAGCCTCGATCTGCCAGATTGCTCACTCTGACACAGTAAACACACATTCGGTTCTCGACTGCATCTACGCAGGTTCTCACACTCGTCTTCGCAACACGAGTTCGACTCACACACTTCATGTGCCCTCAGAAGCAGATTTCCCTGATCAAAGCCAGCGAGATGTGGGATAATCAGAGCTGGATCTCTAGATCTCTAGTGGCAGACACTGAAGATCATGAGCTTCACACAGGAGAGACGCACTGGGAAAATAAGGCAATTCAAATAAATGCAATGCAATAAAATAAAATAAAATCACAAAGACGAGAAAAGAAAGCAAAATAAAAATAAGTAAATAAAATTAAATTAGTAATGAAGACATGAGTAAAGAGTGAAAAAAAAAAAAAAAAAAAAAAAAAAAAAATCAATTAATAAAATAAAAATACAAAAAATACCTAAAAAAATCAAATAAACTCACACAGACACGAGTAAAACTAGCTAAATTAAATTGAATACATAAGTAAATAAGTAAAAAAAATAAAAGACATGAGTAAAGAAAGCAAAATAAAAATAGGTAAATAAAATTAGTAATGAAGACATGAGTAAAGAGTGCAAAAAATAAATAAAAATAAATCAATTAATAAAATAAAAATACAAAAATACCTAAATTAAATTAAATACATAAGTAAATAAGTAAAAAATAAAATACATGAGTAAAGAAAGCAAAATAAAAATAAATAATTAATAAAATTAAATTAAACATGAAGACATGAGTAAATAATGCGAAATAAAAATAAATACATAAGTAGATAAATAAATAAATAAAAGAGTAATTTTATTTTAAAATAATAAAATGACTCACAAAGACATGAGTAAAGAAAGAAAAATACAATTAAATAACTAAATAATAAAATGAAATAAAATACAATGACTCATGAAGACATAATATTTCAAAATAAAATTAAATACATACGTAGGTAAATAAATAAATAAAATGAAATAAAATTATTTTTATATTTTTAAATAATTATAATTTTATTTTAAAATGAAATAAAATAACTCACGAAGACATGAGTAAAGAAAGCAAAATACAATTAAATAACAAAATAAGTAAATAAAATAAAAAAACACTCACGAAGACATGAGTAAAGAATGCAAAATATAAAATTAAATAAAATCATGCATTTAGGACCCACTGGAACTACAGGACACCATTGGCGTGTTATTTCCAACATATGATGAAGACATGAGTAAAGAATGCAAAATAAATAAATAATTAAATAGATAAATATAATTTAGTAGGCAGTACTGACCTAAAAGCACATATCCACTGGGAATAGTACACTACAGCGCACCTTTGGCATATTTAATATTTCCAGCACACAATCACTGAGCCTGCTACTGTACACAGGGCCGTCGCTAGTGGGGTGAAAGGTGGTGACAATTATAGGGGCCCCCGCTGCCCAGGGGGCCCCACAAAATCCAGCAGTTATACTATTTAGGCCCCTGTTGTATGAATAATTTAAATGAAAACCACAAAAACTTGCAATTTGGGTAAATATTTTTCCAAATATCTGCTTCTCTTACCTCCATAAAAATGGTTTAGTCCGACCTAAAGTATTTATTAATTATTCAGTCAGAGTCAGTGACAAACATCAGATGGACCCAATAAAATTGTAAGTCCCGCCCCAGCTCGTGAACAGAACCAATCAGAGTTGAGGCGGCAGCCTGAAGTTAACGATGAACTTGGTGGAAGAGCAGGAGACTGACTGACAGAGAAATGTCGGGGAAAAGAAAACATAAATCAGGGAACCAGAAATGCCAGGAAAAGACGGAGAGGGAGGCAAGGAGAGTGGTTGTATCCCAGTCGATCAAGACGTTCTTAAAGACCGGTTATATATTGTTATTTCGCTGGGAATTAGAAAACTTCCGTCTACAGTCTGCCGTGTACAGTCATTTTTTATTATCGGTGCGCGCCACAATCGACCGAATGATTACGTGGTCTAAATTCCTGTCTTTTTACACTATTGTAACTAGAGTTTTAAAAAAATTACACGAGTCACGGCGCATTGCATTATGCATCTGACCTGCCGGCTGATGATATTTAAAACATCGAGAAAACACGAATACAACACACTGCACTTGGATGAATAAATGTATTCGCTTTATTTAATAATATTACCAGTTCCATATTATCTTTATTAAAAAATAAGGCAATAAATGGTTTTATTTTTTTAATTAGACTGCATTCTTGTCAATTTCTAAATGTTTACTTTTTGATTTATGAATTATAACAGACTGATGGGGGAAAAAATATTACTTTTTAATAATTGGTTTTTATTATTATTTAACAATTTCTTGCTTTTTGTTAGTTTTTATTAGTTGTAATTTTTATATAAACATTTAACTTTTAAAATAAAGGTTTTACAACAACATCACCATCTTCTGTTATGTGGGCCTCCATGTTCATCTATTGTACAGTATATGATATTGGTGGAGGGTGGTGGGGGCCCACATCAATATTTTTTCAGGGGGCCCCGAATCCTCTAGCTACGGCCCTGACTGTACATGTGCATTATGAAGAGCTGAGGTGATGAACACAGTAGATCCGGGGCCCGGGGCCGACACTTATTTACCCAGGAGCCCTCGCTCTCTCACTCACGCAGAGAAACAGCGGATTACCGTGATCTGTGTGGACGGAGAGAGGACCGGGCGAACGAGCCCGCGTTTGCTTACAGCGCAGACATGCTCTCTGACCACGCTAATGAGACATACTGTAATGATGATGTACATTAAAAATAATGTAATGATAATGTAAATGAAAAAATAATGTAATGACAATGTAAATTAAAAAAATATTGTACTGATAATGTAAATTTAAAATAATGTAATGATAATGTAAATTTAAAATAATGTAATGATAATGTAAATTAAAAATAATGTAATGACAAAGTAAATTTAAAAAATATTGTAATGATAATGTAAATTTAAAATAATATAATGATAATGTAAATTAAAAATAATGTAATGACAAAGTAAATTTAAAAAATATTGTAATGATAATGTAAATTAAAAATAATGTAATGATAAAGTAAATTTAAAATAATGTAATGATAATGTAAATTAAAAATAATGTAATGACAATGTAAATTTAAAAAATATTGTAATGATAATGTAAATTAAAAAATAATGTAATGATAATGTAAATGAAAAATGAAAAAATGTAAACTAGTTGCCAAGTTAGATGTTCTAAAATCACTATAAATTAATAAAAACTATCAGTGTTATTAATATTTTGAATCTGATTCTTAGTTTTCATGTTAATTTTAGTTGAATGTTTTAGTAATTTTATCATGTTTTTGTCATGTCATTAGATTGTATATATTATATATTGCTATTTAAGTTTAACCTGGAGTTTTTCGAGTGTATGTTGCTCATGTGAAGTCCCTCCTGATCTCTGTGGCAGAACACACACAAGTGGGGAAACACACCAGGGAATTAGTCACTGGAGTGTGTGTTTGCTCTTTTCCAGTGCATGGCTCATTTAGTGAACTGGGAGAACACATGCATGCTCATAAATTAATTAATTAATACAGAGTTACAGGGACAGTGCAGTCCCTGGTGTAATGTCAGATATTGTCAGATATAATGTCAAATACATTAAAACAAACCAACAATACTTATACATACAGTAGACCACGTTTCATAAGAATACATAAAGTACATTAAAACAAGGACATAACCCCCCCCCACTGACCTGCCGTATGCCCAGGCGATAGGCCATGATCCGGTCCACGGCGCCGGGGCTCATCTGAGTCCACTGGAGCTTGTAGCCGTAAACCCGAGGCCGGTTCTGCCACAGCGGGCTATAGGTGTCGTAGTAGAACTCCGGAGCGAACGCTTTCCCTGCGCACACACACACACACACACACACACATAGCAGTGTGGGTTGTTAGGAAACATCAGATTACATTTCCAAACATTCCTTTATGCCATTGATTGTGATAACCCAGTGAGATGTTTGTACGCACGAGAAATCTCGAGTATACTTATATATCACATGATGAAAATATTGATTATATTTATTTTATGGATTTATTTTAATTAATGGGTTATCAATACCGTTCTTGTCTTAGGACAACTTTGATGAACTTTTTTGATCCACTTTAAATGTTGAATACTGTATATATATAAATACATATAAATATGATAAATAATTTTTATAAATATTTTTTTTTAAATAATTAAACAGAATAAATAAATAAATATAATAATAAAAATATAAAACATTTAAAAATGAGGTAAAATTTATTTATTTAAAAATTAGGTAAAATTAGTATAAAAATGTAAAAACATTTATAGATAAAATGAAATAAATGACCTAAAAACACACAGAAGCATACATCAAGGATCCACTGGAAATTGCTGATGCTGTATATTATGCTGTATATGATGCTGTATATGATCTGTATATGATGCTGTATATGATGCTGTATATGATCTGTATATGATGCTGTATATGATCTGTATATGATGCTGTATATGATGCTGTATATGATCTGTATATGATGCTGTATATGATGCTGTATATGATGCTGTATATGATGCTGCATATGATGCTGTATATGATCTGTATATGATGCTGTATATGATGCTGTATATGATCTGTATATGATGCTGTATATGATGCTGTATATGATGCTGTATATGATCTGTATATGATGCTGTATATGATCTGTATATGATCTGTATATGATGCTGTATATGATGCTGTATATGATGCTGTATATGATGCTGTATATGATGCTGTATATGATGCTGTATATGATGCCATAGGCGTAATTTGCGGGTGGGACGGGTGGGACATGTCCCCACCACTTTTTGCCAGGGTCAATATTGTCCCCACCACTTTTGAAACATCTCACGTCACGGATGTAAATAATACAAATAAATAAAACATCTCTAGTTAACTAGCAGAGCATTCATTTAGTTCGTTTGTTAAATAAGAGGCGATCTAGCGCTGAAATGTGTTGTTTTTGAAATCAAGTGATCAAAGTGCCCGTTGACTGCGACCAGTGGCGTGGATACGGTGTTCTCTTGTGGCTCGCGCTGCCGCTTTAATCCGTTGCGGAGACTCTCCATTCATTCCGGAGAAATCACAAAGTAAAATGCACACAAACGTGTCCCTGCTTGATATACAACCACTGATAAACATAATTGGTTTAATGAGAAAAAAAAAAAAAAGTGCGGATTAGAACCCAGAACCTCTGACACGCTTAGCAAAACTTCTGCCACTGGACCATTAAAGTGCATGTGTTAAAGTGCATTAAATGACAAATTAAACACAATGTACTAATTAAATCGATTGCTGGACATCGGTATGTTATTGTACATAGGTGTACATCTGATTTATGATTTAGCATTGTATTATGATGCTATATATGATGCTGTACACTCACCTAAAGGATTATTAGGAACACCATATTAATTCTGTGTTTGACCCCCTTTCGCCTTCAGAACTGCCTTAATTCTACGTGGCATTGATTCAACAAGGTGCTGAAAGCATTCTTCAGAAATGTTGGCCCATATTGATAGGATAGCATCTTGCAGTTGATGGAGATTTGTGGGATGCACATCCAGGGCACGAAGCTCCCGTTCCACCACATCCCAAAGATGCTCTATTGGGTTGAGATCTGGTGACTGTGGGGGCCATTTTAGTACAGTGAACTCATTGTCATGTTCAAGAAACCAATTTGAAATGATTGGAGCTTTGTGACACGGTGCATTATCCTGCTGGAAGTAGCCATCAGAGGATGGGTACATGGTGGCCATAAAGGGATGGACATGGTCAGAAACAATGCTCAGGTAGGCCGTGGCATTTAAATGATGCCCAATTGGCACTAAGGGGCCTAAAGTGTGCCAAGAAAACATCCCCCACACCATTACACCACCACCACCAGCCTGCACAGTGGTAACAAGGCATGATGGATCCATGTTCTCTTTCTGTTTACGCCAAATTCTGACTCTACCATCTGAATGTCTCAACAGAAATCGAGACTCATCAGACCAGGCAACATTTTTCCAGTCTTCAACTGTCCAATTTTGGTGAGCTCTTGCAAATTGTAGCCTCTTTTTCCTATTTGTAGGGGAGATGAGTGGTACCCGGTGGGGTCTTCTGCTGTTGTAGCCCATCCGCCTCAAGGTCGTGCGGGTTGTGGCTTCACAAATGCTTTGCTGCATACCTCGGTTGTAACGAGTGGTTATTTCAGTCAAAGTTGCTCTTCTATCAGCTTGAATCAGTCGGCCCATTCTCCTCTGACCTCTAGCATCAACAAGGTATTTTCGCCCACAGGACTGCCGCATACTGGAAGTTTTTCCCTTTTCACACCATTCTTTGTAAACCCTAGAAATGGTTGTGCGTGAAAATCCCAGTAACTGAGCAGATTGTGAAATACTCAGACCGGCCCGTCTGGCACCAACAACCATGCCACGCTCAAAATTGCTTAAATCACCTTTCTTTCCCATTCTGACATTCAGTTTGGAGTTCAGGAGATTGTCTTGACCAGGACCACACCCCTAAATGTATTGAAGCAACTGCCATGTGATTGGTTGATTAGATAATTGCATTAATGAGAAATTGAACAGGTGTTCCTAATAATCCTTTAGGTGAGTGTATATGATGCTGTATATGATCTGTATTTGATGCTGTATATGATCTGTATATGATGCTATATATGATCTGTATATGATGCTGTATATGATCTGTATATAATCTGTATATGATGCTATATATGATGCTGTATATGATGCTGTATATGATCTGTATATGATGCTATATATGATGCTGTATATGATCTGTATATGATGCTGTATATGATGCTATATATGATGCTGTATATGATCTGTATATGATGCTATATATGATGCTGTATATGATGCTGTATATGATGCTGTATATGATCTGTATATAATCTGTATATGATGCTATATATGATGCTGTATATGATCTGTATATGATGCTGTATATGATCTGTATATAATCTGTATATGATGCTATATATGATGCTGTATATGATGCTGTATATGATCTGTATATGATGCTGTATATGATGCTGTATAGGATGCTGTATATGATGCTGTATATGATGCTATATATGATGCTGTATATGATCTGTATATGATGCTATATATGATGCTGTATATGATCTGTATATGATGCTATATATGATGCTGTATATGATGCTGTATATGATCTGTATATGATGCTGTATATGATGCTATATATGATGCTGTATATGATCTGTATATGATGCTATATATGATGCTGTATATGATGCTATATATGATGCTGTATATGATCTGTATATGATCTGTATATGATGCTGTATATGATCTGTATATGATGCTGTATATGATCTGTATATGATGCTATATATGATGCTATATATGATGCTGTAAATGATGCTGTATATGATGCTGTATATGATCTGTATATGATGCTGTATATGATGCTATATATGATGCTGCATATGATCTGTATATGATCGGTATATGATGCTATATGTGATGCTGTATATGATGCTATATATGATGCTGTTTACGATGCTATATATGATGCTGTATATGATGCTATATGATGCTGTATATGATCTGTATATGATGCTATATATGATGCTGTATATGATGCTGCATATGATGCTGTATATGATGCTGTATATGATCTGTATATGATGCTGTATATGATGCTGTATATGATCTGTATATGATGCTGTATATGATGCTGTATATGATCTGTATATGATGCTATATGTGATGCTGTATATGATGCTGTATATGATGCTTTATATGATGCTGTATATGATCTGTATATAATCTGTATATGATGCTATATATGATGCTGTATATGATCTGTATATGATGCTGTATATGATCTGTATATAATCTGTATATGATGCTATATATGATGCTGTCTATGATGCTGTATATGATCTGTATATGATGCTGTATATGATGCTGTATATGATGCTGTATATGATCTGTATATGATGCTGTATATGATGCTATATATGATGCTGTATATGATCTGTATATGATGCTATATATGATGCTGTATATGATCTGTATATGATGCTATATATGATGCTGTATATGATGCTGTATATGATCTGTATATGATGCTGTATATGATGCTATATATGATGCTGTATATGATCTGTATATGATGCTATATATGATGCTGTATATGATGCTATATATGATGCTGTATATGATCTGTATATGATCTGTATATGATGCTGTATATGATCTGTATATGATGCTGTATATGATCTGTATATGATGCTGTATATGATGCTATATATGATGCTGTAGATGATGCTGTATATGATGCTGTATATGATCTGTATATGATGCTATATATGATGCTGCATATGATGCTGCATATGATCTGTATATGATCGGTATATGATGCTATATGTGATGCTGTATATGATGCTATATATGATGCTGTTTACGATGCTATATATGATGCTGTATATGATGCTATATGATGCTGTATATGATCTGTATATGATGCTATATATGATGCTGTATATGATGCTGCATATGATGCTGTATATGATGCTGTATATGATCTGTATATGATGCTTTATATGATGCTGTATATGATGCTGCATATGATCTGTATATGATGCTGTATATGATCTGTATATGATGCTGTATATGATGCTGTATATGATCTGTATATGATGCTGTATATGATGCTGTATATGATCTGTATATGATGCTATATGTGATGCTGTATATGATGCTGTATATGATGCTTTATATGATGCTGTATATGATGCTGCATATGATGCTGTATATGATGCTGTATATGATGCTGTATATGATCTGTATATAATAAT